GATCTGTGAATATGTGGCTTTTCTTGCCCAAGAGGTGTTTTGATCATCTCATTCCAAGTCTTATGCAGTCTTATGTAGTGTTATTATTTGCAGAAATTGTTTACATGTAAAATCTTTTTAATTTAAAAGATCCAAGTGCTGTGTGTAAGTCCATTTTTTTTCTTTGTGAGAATAATTTTTAATTTTATCCTTAACCTAATTTAAGGGCTTTACAATAGCGCTAGTTCTCTCTTGGACTTCAGCGAAATACATGGGTGCCTGCTCTTACAAATTACACTTCTTCAGTATTTATTGTCTTTTCTAAGAATCTTCTTGGCTTTATTAATAGTCCTTTATTAATGTTGACACAACATCCCTCAGGAATAAAAGAGTATTATATCAATGTAGATCAGGTAGGGAAAAAATGCACAATGATGAATCAAGTTGATCCTGGTTGTACATGAAGCCTCTTCTAACGTCATTGGTATCTCTTTAGCTCCGTTGCTTCTATGTAGAAAGATCCCTTTATATGTTAAGGAGAAAAAGAACCTCTAAACTTTCAGGTAAAGATAACGATAGTAAAACCATCTTTCCTTATTATAACTATTCCCATAAACTTGTTCTCATTTTTAAGCACACTTTAATAATTCGGGGCTTTATCTAAGTTGTCTGATTATGGCAATGTAGGATTTTGCAAGCTAGGTTAATATAGTTTCATGTTACCCTGCTCTTGCTAAAAATTATCTGTAGGTAGGTGTACGGTGTGTTGCATTCTGTGCATGGTTTACAATCTCAGTAGTTGTCAGTACTGTATTATAGCCCATCAGATCTTAAGACTTTGAGGTTGAAATGTTGTTGTACTTCTGCTTTTTATTTTTTCTTTGTTTCTGTTTTAACTGCAGTTTAAATGACCTATATTTTTTAAATGTCCATTAATGCTTTTTACACTATTTAAAAGCTGAGATATCAAGAAAGTAGCATGGAAAGAAACAAGATTGTCATGAAATACAGTGTTAAATTCCAAGTATTGTGGCACGATTAAAAATACAGAAGCATTTAGTGCATAAATCCCCAATTTCCAAGGATATCTTTATCCCATGTCATAACTCAACAAAGATGTAGGTAAAGTAGGTGATTACAGAAATTATTTTTAAAATGTGCTGGTTGTATTGAAGTGTTTCAGTCCTGCAGATGTTGGATTGAACATACACTTCTGTACATTTTAGATCACGGATGTTCATTCTGTGCTTAACCTCCTTCAGCTGCTTTGCCTTATTTTTTCCATATGTTCCTTCTCCTACTCTGAACTCTTCCGCTGATAATGTCAAAACAATGTTCAATAGTGCTGCAGCTGCATCGGGGTGAACTTTTAATTTAAAAAATCTCTCTGTTTACATTCTAAATATAACTGTGCCAGTACTGCCAAACAAATTGGTATCAGAGAGCAGGGTGTTAATCGTGGAAGATTAGTTCAAAACTGTTGCATGAGAAAGATCTTTTAAAGGGAACACAAAGGTGTTTTGTTTTGGTTTTTTTTTCGTAGTGAAGCCAATCTTGTGGTTAAATCAGTGTAGCTGCTATGTGCAAAGACAGATCTGCATAGGTCAGAGAGCAGGTTTATAAAACGATATTAGTTGTGCAAAATCAGTTTTCCCTTCTGAATATAAACCATTTCTTTAATGTAAAAAGAATCTAAGCTATTTTTAAAGGATCTCGTCTTTTGTTTACTTGCTAAACTGATTCAAAGAGTATCAAAATGTTTGGAAACCAGGTCATGTATTTCTTGTCTGCTTGATGGGACTTTGAGATTCTATGGGCTATGGAGTCAGCACTTTGTGAGAGGAAATGCCAATGGTTTTGTTGGATGATGTTGCTGGCCAATACTGTTAACTTGTCACTGATTTTCGAGAGTGTTGTGGTTCAAGCTGACTGGGACAAAGAACCACGCGGTCTCCAGCTCACTCCTCCCCCCACCCCCATTTGCACAGTGATGTGGAGGGAGACAATTTCAACTAAAAAGGCTCAAGGGTTTGAGATTAAGGATAGGGTGGATAATAATGTACCATTTAAGATAATGGGTAAAGAACCAGAGAGACTTGGCAACAAACAGATTTAATTCACCACCACCATTTACGAGGTAGGAAGGTAAGAGGAATGCATCTATAAATATGACTCAGTCTTAAATACCCTTTGCCCATCCACCCCTCCCATCTTCCCGGCTACCTCCTTCCCCCCTCTATGCAAGGGGGCAAGGGGTGGGGGGTGCAGCCCATCTGGCCACTTCTCATGGTCCATGGCAGCTCCTCCTTGAGAAAGAGGGCTCCTCGCAGTCTCTCCTTCCTGTTGCATGGTGTTCACCGTGGTGTCCACCTCACAGGAGGCAATCCTCTTCCTCCTTGGGAGCCCATCCTCTTCCTCCTTGGGAGCCCCTCAGGGCCACGGATCGCCTCAGACATGTCCCCGACTAATGCTTGATCTCTCTCCCCTCTCGCATGGGGCTCTGCACGTACCGACACATCCTGGATGTTCTCGCTGCCATCAGTCCCCTCAGCTGACAGGCAGTCACCTTCCTGCCATCTCAGCCACCATGGGTCCAAGGAAAAGTCCTGCTCTGACAGCCTTCTCTCTCTCCTCCTCAGGGGCACTTCTCCCCCTCTTTCTCCTCAGGGGCACTTCTCCCCCTCTTTCTCCTCAGGGGCTCTTCTCCCTCACTTTCTTCTCAGGATGACGTTCTTTTGTTCTCCTCTCAGCTCCCCCTCCTCCAACAGAAAAAAACCACTCCCCAACGTTAAAGACAGGACAGCTCAAAACCAGAAAAAAACAAAAGAGAGAGATAGAACAATGGGATCACCTCTTAAATACCTTGATGACAGAGGCACTGATTGCCCTGGCCCTGGCCAGAGGCAGGTCCAACTCTGCCTGGGGGTACGGGAGTCCCTCAAAGTTTCACATGAGTCTACTCCCTCTTTTTTTTACAATAACCCCGTTAGACTCGAACCCATGACAGAGGGAGATGGGGGTAAAGAAAATCAGTGATGAGTTTTTTACAAATGAAGGGGGAAAAGAAAAGCCAACTATATTAATCCTAAAATTTAATTTATATACACATGTAAAATGTACTCAAAATAATATGTATATACATGTAGAGAACTACATAGCAGTACATGACCAGGATATTGTTGCATATATTTGATTTTGGGTAATAGGCTTCAGTATTTGTAAAAACAAACAAAAATAAGCACACAAATTTATGCAAGCTTAATGGATGACTTCAAGATTTCCCTGCTTTGTTGTTCTTGGGTGGTTTTTTTCCTGAGTAAGTATATATAAGGTCTGAAATTCAAGCTTACTAGTAGTCAAAGGACTTCTTCCTGCTCTTTTTGGTCAGAGCTGTTCTAAGTGACCCAGAGCAATCCACGCGTGATGATATTCACAAGGAAGCTCATGGACTTCTGGGACTTGGAACAGCACCAATGCGTTTTAGAAAAAGAACACTGCATGAAACAAAGTAAGTTTTCTCTAGTGGTCATTTTTTTAGAAATACATTTTCTGCTGTGTTTTTTGTTATTTTGGTCTCTGTGAAGTCTGTTCACCTTTCTGGATGTTTTATATCTGGCTTGGATCCCCCAGCTCCGTGTGAAGCCTTTTTTGTAGCCTCCCCATGCCTAGAATGGCCTAGTGGGACCTGTTCATATGGATTCTCTGTGTATAGTGATTGATTCGTGGAAGTTATAAAGCCTGGGAGAACATTATTAAACTTATATTGATATTGTTCATCACAAGGGTTTGCCAGCCTCTTCTGAGCTGTCGAATGCTTGCAATCTTGTCATATCCTTTTAGAGATTCCTATCCTGAGGAGCATAAAATTACATAAATATGCATCTGTGAATGCTAATGTAGATCTTCACAATATAATTACACTTTTCTTTCATGTTTTGATTTCTGCTGCACTGATTAACTATACTGGCGTTTAAGTGTCATTCCTGGCCTGTGAGCACTGAAATAGTAACTCCAAGGGCTTAAGAAAAATCCCAGAAAACCTTGTGATCCGTAAAATTAAATGAAGCTTCAGGTCTGAGTTTTGTTCTGTTAATTTTTCTCAACAGGCAGACAAACAGCTCTGCTTTGTGCATTTTAACATCCTGCTCTAAATTCTTTCTCAATAAATGTCATCTTTGTGTTCCTGGAAAAAAAAAAACCCAAACAACAAACCCTGTCTCAATCTCTTACACCCATCACATGGACAAATCTCCATTTTCAGAACTAGTAATACAGCCAGCATAAAATATCTAGGTGAGTAAAGAAGCCCCAGCCTGAGCATATTTGCAAGAAAACACACTGATTGGTAGAGGTATGGTGAGTGGTAAAGGTTTACATCTTGGTAAAAGTGTATATAAACAAAATATCCCATTCATAGCTATGTCTTCTGTGAATGTACTCTCATATAATTACAGAACACCTTCCACATTACAACTCTCGGGTTCTTTCTAATTCAGCTACAGGAGATCATCTCCTTAGCCAGTTGCCAAGGATACCGTATTTCACATTTTTTGCTGTTTTGAAACAGTTGATTATTATGTAACATTTGTCTGTGGGCATATAGGTATCATTAACATGCTGCATTAATTTCACAGAATAAGGACCAAATCAGGATTGACAGAAAACATGCTATCTAACAAGCTATGCTTTGACAGTAGAATTATATCGAGGTAATCACAAATTTCATGAAGCTTTTCAATTCTATGAATTCATGAATGATGATCTTTACCCTCTTGAAATAATTAATTGCACTGAACATCTCTTTTTCCCTGTGTTTAGAAAAAGTATGTACTGTATTTGTATTATGCATCTGTGGGTGAAAAATATATATATACACACATATACACCCACACATGCATAATACAGATTTCGACTTGGTGATGGATACAGTCCCATTGTAAAGGTGTGTAAATAACTTTATGTTATCATCATACCCATGGCTCTGTGCAGGACAGCACAGTGCTCTTAACTCATTGCATGTCAGCTGATGAAAAAATTATCTTAGCCGTGTCTTAGAATCCGACAACGACTGTGGATGGAAAGGCTGACTTTGTGTCTCGTTTGTAGTTCCTTACGTACGCACCTTGCAGGTGCAGGGCATAGAATCACACAATGTGTTGGTCTGGAAGGGACCTTTAAACGTCATCTAGTCCAACCCCCCTGCAATGAGCAGGGACATCTTTAACCAGATCAGGTTGTCCCTCTGGAACTGTTCTAAATTGATCAGCAGTGACATCAACATACTCTTCAAGCTCTGGAAGTGATGCTTTTCAGAAGCAGGGAGCTGTGTGCTTGTTAGACATAGCTGAAGATTCAGCCACATGGCTTCATACACCATAACGAATGCAGTAGTCCTGTTCTAAATAATCCTGTAGTTAATGAGTGAAAATTACGTTGGTATTCTAAAACATGAAGCCTTAGAAGGTGTTTTTAACGTTAACGTAACGTAGAATGGAATATTCAAATATGTGTCCAAATCCAGAAGTTGAACTCAGTGGTGGTTTAGAAAAATGCCAGGTACCTCTTTCAAAGGAAAAGAATGTACAATATACAACATTGGAAATAAAGTGCATGTTCCAAAAGGAATGTTGTTTATGTTTGTGTTGAATTGGATTTATATAGATGCAAAAACATAAAGGTTCTTTTCAATTTTCCTTATAGAAATGGTCGTGATGCTTGTAGAGAGTTGATTGGATTTTATTTTGCATGTGACAAATCCCTTACTGTGTACGAATTTCGACAGTTTGGAAAAAATAGGTAGGATAAGTTACTTTTTAAAAAGCTTTTAGAAAATACCTTCCACTGTCTTTAATAAACTTAAATAAATTTAATCGTTTTAATAGCAGTTTTGATTTATTTCACAGAACAAATGCCTTGCCTTTCATTCAGAAGGGAGTTTATCAACATGCACGTGGACAAAAGAAGGGAAAATCTTATGACCTTAGTGACTTCTATATAGTAAGTGTTCTGATGAATATAAGGAAATTTGGTGGATAATTTGGAAGTCATATTTACATAGTCGAGTTGAAAATTGTGATCGCACTTTCAGGGAGAGTGAAAAGTCTTTCCCTTCAGTAACGTTTTCTAATGGAAGATTTTCAGGAGTCTGGATTATTTTTTTGTGCCATGTTTGAGAGATTCGCTGTTTGGATTAAGCTGTAGTTTGACATTTTCCCACGAGAGGGCACAAGACTGCAGACAGTGGCGACCTCTGTGTTGGCAAAGTGAACAAGTCGGGAAGCAGATACAGATGAAGTAGACCAAAGTACTTGTTAAAAAATAATAATCTTTGCAACGTCTGCTGGCAATGTTGACACGAGTCAGTTATTAAATATTTTCTTAAATTTGAAGAAGTCGAAGAAACTTTTAACCTAAAGTTTTAAAGCGTTTACCACCAGCTATGTCCAAGTGGTTGAGACACACAATAACAGCATCTCTGTCTCCTTCCTAATTTATGATTTTTGTCGGCTTTATAACCCAAGCCTACATCGATATTAGAGTTAGGTCTACTGCTTTCTTTAATTCTACTCAGCATTCTTTGCTTTTAGTTTGCTGCTTTTCTTTCTCTCACCTTCACTCTTCTCTCAAACTAAAAAGCATCTTAAAATTTGCAGAATGTGAGATGTGTCCTCTGTCCCCAACTTGAAGGGAAGAGGAATTTGTAATACTTGGAAGAGACTATACTGGGTAATAAAACTCTGTGCTACTACTAACATATTTTTATACAATATTTATTAGTGAAATCTAGCAAATCAAATGATAACTATAGTTAAACATTGCAGGAATGATTTGAACTCTAGGAAGGCTATTTTATTTGTGTGTTTATTTCAAGTATGATTTTAGGTTATTGAAAATAACTGTGGAGGTTTTCTCTAGTCTGAGAGAACTTTGCTCTCACGGAATCAATGTGGCATCTGCAGTGACTCTCTTCTGTGGTCCAGCAAGTTTTGGATACCATAAGGATGAAGAGAGAAGGAAAACTGAAAGGTAGAGCCTGGCAGAGAGGAAAAACAGTCTCTAGTCTCATGTTTTTCAGCTGTAGATTAGGCAAAAGTAAGCCGTCTTACTAGACAAATCTCTATGTAGCAGATAATGTGTCATCTTGGAGCCTGCACCTGTTTTACTTTGTACTAGAAAGACTCTGTTAAGAAGGTTTACTGATCTGAGCTGCACCTTTTCATCATTCTATACCAAGACTTTGTATTGTACATAATACATGAGCTATTTGTAAATCATTATATGTTCTACCAACAGGGAGCTAACCTAACTTTCCAAAGTGTTGATCATAACCTTCCAGAAAGTGTTAAGCAGAACGCAATTCTCACCCTTCGTGTGATAAGTATTGATGAAGCAGCTATGGATTTTCTAAAGTAAGTGCAGCTGTTTTTCAAATTACCTTTTCTTCCTTAAGGATTTTTTTAGTAAGATCTTCTAACATCTTATTACTTACATTGCTGAAAAGCAAAAACTCTACTAGGCTGTTGTTAGGAGACATTAGTAATAGATGTTAGTGGATGTTCTGTAACTCAGTGACTTTCTAGATTGATAAGGAGTAATTTTAAAATAAGAATGAGCTAAATTATGAAACTGCCTCATTTGCTTTGTTTGGAGTCGGATGTTTTCATATATAAATCATACACGCACTTTTCTTACGTGATGAACTAAAATACTGTATTTGGGGAGAAACGCTTTTTTTTTTGTAATCAGCATTTATTATTAAATCTTTTGTGAAGCTTATGTTAAAAGTTTGTATCAGTCATCATAATGGAAATGTTTGAACATAGGTGGAGGAACAACTGGCAGTTTCTCTCTCTTTTTCTTTTTCCTTCCTCTTCCTATCCATTCTTCATTCTTCCAGGTATTGCCACATCAGGCAATTGTTGAAGACATCAGGCACTGGGACAGGATTTCTGCACTTACTCTTTCAAAACAGTGTTTGGTGAATGATGTTGTTCCATAGTCTGAAAGATGAGAATTCATAAAATTTTTTCACATAGTTAGGTGAATAGTTAATCTCTGAGTATGTGTTATTTTTGAAGGTAATGTTCTTGTCTCAATATCTCTACAGAAGCAAACTGTCTAGGGAATGACACATCTTTCTCTGGGGTTTCTGGCTTTTATTGTGAGCGTACTGGTTCTTAGCACAAATAAGATCTTCGTAAAATATTTATTGCACTGCTGTGTTGCCTGAAAACAGAAGTTACATAATGGTGTGGAAATACATGCAAAGTTTGATTACTCAAATTTTGATGAGGAGTGTTAGCCAATAGCCGTTATTACAAGGTAGAAATTTTTATCAAATCACAGAAAGCGATCTTAAGATGGTCTCTTAGTCCAACTCCCTGCTCAAAGCAGGGTTCACTACAGCAGGTTGCTGAGGGCTGCGTCTAGTTGGTTTTTTTAATATCTCCAAGGCTGGAAACTGCATCCTCTGTGAGCAACCTGTTCGGGTGTTCAGTCACCCTCACAGTACAAAAATGTTTCCTGATGTTCAGAGGGAACCTCCTGTGTTTCTGTTTGTGCCCATTGCCTCTGGCCCTGCCAGTGGGCTCCACGGAGCAGAGCCTGTCTGTTGTCTTTCCTCCCTCCTATCAGGTATTTACACACACTGATGAGATCCCTCGAGCCTTCTCTTCTCCAGGCTAAACAGTTCCAGCTCTGCTCACATATCAGATGCTTCAATCCCTTCTTGACTAGGAACAGCAATAACAGAATCTCAATTAAATACATTCAGTATCTAAAGACTACTTTCGTTAGCACAACTTAACTGACTATTATTTTTCTTTCTGCAAGTGAAAGCTTGTTCTTGGTTATGGTAATACTCACTTTAAGGTCCCTTTCCACTGAAAGTTTTGCAAAGGACCCATAGCGAGCTAAGAGTACATAAACCAGTGAATTCAAACGTAATTGGTTATATAAATATATAGTTGTATGATGCTTAGTGCTAATTGTTCCCTCTCTGCAAGGTTTCCATGAAATAAACGACAATATAGTTTAATTTCAGATAGTTTATGTAAGACATTTTACATCTCAGAAGGCTGTCATTCCAGTAAACAGCTTTTTCTTTCATTTGCTGCTAGTCTTGTACCTGCAAAATCTGGAGTTGATCCAATGTTATCTCTGAAGGCTCCAGAAAGAAGACTTGCTTGCTGGGTTATAATTTTGGATTTTCTGCTACCTGTGGTGGAACAGATTGTTTCTTTTTTATACTCTCTCCCCATGTTCTTTCCATTGGTGACTAAATTTCAGATCAGGAAGTCTGTCATCTTCTTCTGAGTGGGGCTGTTACTGAACTCAGTATTCTCTGGTGCAAAACTCTTGCACTGAGTCCTCTTACCTCCGTTACTGTACTCCGAGAGAATTCTGCTCAGGTGTAGTCTAAAAGGTCTGTTGCAGATTTCTGGGAGCAGCTATGCCCTGGTGTCACAAGCAGTGAATCTTTTGTTTTACGGGTGATTTAGAGAGAGTATATATTCCTCTGCAGGTGGTTGTTGACTTTCTGGTTTAGGTGGTTTGCTGTAGGCAAACTTGTAGGAACTTCATAATGGGAGGTACCCAAAGTGGAGATTCGGAGTCTTGATAGACAGCAGAGAGAGCAGAGTGGTGAGTCTTTGGCCTCAGGAAGCGGGAGGATGAGTATTCCATGGCAAAGCACAGATGAGCAAGCAGATCAAAGTTGACAGCAATGCTTTGCTGTTTTGCCTTCCTATTCTGATTAATTATAAGACTTTTTTTTAAAAAAAAATTTCCAATAATTCTTCCACTGTGATCTTTTTTTATCAACCTTTAAAATAATTTCTGATGAGGGCTTATGGGAAGCCCTCCTCAGAGTGGAACTTGCCAGAGAAAACACAAAATTTAACCATAATTCCTAGGTCACACCTAAGATACACCCCTGATCCTTCTCTTCTGAAGAGATTTGTAGCTACTTCATATTATTTTCCTCTTGGTAACTAAATGTAGCTGCATTAACAAAGCCTTCCAGTGGCCTGAGGTGAAGATTAGGACTGTCTTGAAATAAATTTCTGGAAGTTTTATGCACAGGAGGAATTATCCATGATTAATGAATTAGTAGAGGAGCTTCTAATGGACTGTTGTCAGAAAGAAATTTCTGCCTGTCTGCAGCTGTTCATCAAGTACTTTTTAATGTATCAACTCAAGCAATTGGATACTATGCTTATAAGAGCAGTATAAGAATTAAACATCAAGTTCAATGTGTTTTTTACTACAGATATTTTGAATTAAGTAATATTACACATAGTTTCACCAATCAACATTAATTTTGATTATTTTAGAGCTGCTTCTATGGAATTCAAGCAAGAGTGTTCCAAGCAAGTGGTCGATGACAGCAAAGTTTTCAGGAAAATTCAAGGTTTGTGTCTGCCAGAACCCATTTAATTTTAGTTTTTGTATCTCTATAGCTCAACACAAAGAACAGTAGTGACGTTATAAAGATTTTATTTGTCTAAATGAAATTAAACAGAAGTTAAATATTTATCAGAATGTTGTTAGACTCTGATACCAGCATGAATCAATCATAAGAGTACTTTCTCCTCTTAAAATAAACAGTCTAGCTAGAAATCTTGGGAGCAGTATAGCGTAATTCTGAAAGTAGTCAATAAAATATTAATCTCTCTGTCGACATAACACTGATCCTATGTTGAACTGGCATTAAATTAATAAAGTTATTGACAAAATATACAAACACAGCCTTATTCAGTTGATTTTATGCTAGATACTTTTTTTGGCCATTATTTTATACATTGATAAGTTGTTTTTTGATAGTATTTAATATTATGCTTATTAACATAGGTGAGTATAATTGAATACTATCTTCTGGAATATGTAAGTAAATTTACCAGGTTCCTACAGCCTTGAGGACAAAGGCATAGTTTTGTGTTTAAAATTATGACAAGATGTTTTATGCAGTGCTGTGTATTATATTTGTAACCTGTTGTCAGTAAGACCTGTCGAGCTGAACAGCTTCCAGCTTGTAGAATCACCGCTATTAGCTAAACCTGTTTTAAGTAGGCACTCTTTGGTCACTAAAGTCTCCTTGGACATTGACTTTTAGAAAAATTCTTGGAGTAATAGTTAGGGATATTTTTTTATCTTCTAGTTACTCAAATATTTTCCCCTTGCATAATAGGCAAAAATTGATTTCTCAGTTATCTGAGAAACATCTAAGGTTTGCTGGTGTAGCATGGAAGGAGGTTACGTGTATGTATTTCAAGACATCTTTTAACATACGTCTGAGTTTCTACTTCACTGGAAAAATCTTCCTTCTTTCACCCTCTCTTTGTTTTACTTCATAATTGTAGATAAAAGTAATTTCAAGATAAAATATAATAATAGCAGATGACTTCTGTTAACATAGTTTGCTGAGAAGCTCAGACATTCCTAAAGGAAACCTTCCACTTAAATATTTTTAGAAGGCTGCCATTTCTGCCATAGAAATAGTTACCTGCGTATAATTTTGGAACAGTTTTGTACAATTCCTTATATTTGTTCTTGTTTCCACATGTATTTAACATGTTTGTACAATGAAGGAGCAACACTGTGTCCCATAATGGAATGTTCGTATTACCAAAAAAGTGTTCCTGAGTTGCTTTGTGTGTTGAACCCCGATATGTCATCAGTTCTAGCAGAAGTAGGCAGTTTTATAATCTGAACACATAAAGGGCAACAGCCATTCTTCATTTCTTGGGATCTCTTGTTAGATGTTGCTGCTGCTTTGTATTATTTCTACTCAAATGTTAAGTAGCTGATCTCTTCATTTTTAACTGATGTTCTCTCATCGAAGATGAGGGAGCCTGGATGAGTGGATGTGTCATTTTAACCAGTGGTGTCATAAACAGTTTTGGTTTTCTTCACTTTTATATCAGCCCCATAGCAAGTGGCCCACTTCTGGTAACCATTGTGTCCTTTATTCCTCTAAATCCTCAGGTATACTCAGAGACACACTAAGTAAAAGAGGAGTTAGGGTTGTAACAGGCTTGGGAAAGTACTTCCGAGAAGCAGACAAGAGCAGAAGCGGTTTTCTCTCTCAGGCAGTGTTTAAAGAAGCTCTAAAAGCGTTCCATCTGGAAGTGCCTGAAGAGGTAGGTCTAGCTGAAACTGTAATTATGGGTATTATCTCACTTTAACTTATGCAATCACTTCTTTTCTTCACTTAAAATTATAATTTAATAGCTGTGTTTTGCAAATTTCACCTCCCTGTCCCCCTTGGTGGCATATTGGCATTTCTGCATCCAGTTCTATGTGAAATTTTTGAAAATAAAACCCAGTAAATTTAAATGAATCTTTTTACATCATGAAGAAGCAAGTGGGATTGCAGTCCATTTTTTTTCCTTTTTTTGCCTTTAAAATAATTTAGTTGATGCTATTTATGTATTTTTTTCTTTATTCTATATATTTTATTTTAAAAATAGCCCACAGCTGTCGGAATTGCAAATAATGTGAATTAGAGTAATCAGTGACCAATGATGACTTGTATTATTTTGACAAATCTTTGAGTAAATGTTTTCATTTGAGAATACTGTAATTTCCTATTATAGCAATTGTTTTATTCTAGGACATAGTGAAGAACTGTGGCAAAATATTTTTAAATTGCAGGACTTTGAATCCTTATGGCTTACTCTTGATGACAGCAGGAGTGATAAGGTTGACTACGGAGAATTTACTCGTGCCATATTTGGAGAAATGAACGAGTACAGGAAAGCATTTGTAAGAAAAGTAAGTTTTGTTGCAGATATTTTAAGTATAGGTATTATGCAGCTGAGTTTTGGAGTTAGCTATTTATCATGTTCTGATTCTATTTTTTTGTTGTCGTTTTTCTAAATTGTGCATCTGGTAAATGACTTTGTAAAACTTCCAGATCAATTTATTAAAATAAACATAAATTAGAGGATTGCATGCTGTTCCATTGTTGAAATAGTTAAACTCTAGAACTAATTCCTTTATTATTTTGAGTTTATGCATATGTATGCTATTCTTACTTTTCAGTCTAGTGTATAAAGCGTCTGGCACCCTGAAACTATCTCTTCCAGAAGTCTGTTTCTTTGTTTTGGCAGATCATTGTATCTGTGCAGATTTTTTTCCCCTGTAGTGTCTGACCTAGGAGGCAGTAATACTTGCCCCCTTTGAGACCTGCAGTTAGAGTCAATATATTTGTGAGACTTCTTATATTTGAAATACCGTTCGATATATGTCTGTAACATAATGTGGAGCCGTTTGCAGTGTGAAACACTGATTACAGACTGACCAATAGAGTAGCAACTGGATATCAAGGTCAAGGAAGACTTTCATGGGCAATCTGACTCTCCTAGTCTTAGGTATCGAGCACAGATATTTGAGTCAACTGAAAGGAGAGTGAAGCTGCTGTCAGCAGTGCTGAAGAGACTGTGTTGAGGCCTCTGTCAGAATGATGCGGGAGTCTTAGTGATTGGAGGAGGCATAAAGGAAGCAGCTTAACTGATTTGAAGGATGAGAAGACAATTTTTTTTTTGAGCTGGTGAGGGGACCACATTTGATTGATATGAAAGCTGTTGAGATAGCTTAATAATGAAAATCAATAAGCTAGAGTTATTTTCTGATATTTGGTGCCTTTCATAAAATAGGTAAAGTGACATAATCCATTGCACAAGATCGAAAAGTAAGTTAGTTAAGCCTATTTGATCTCTACATCTTTCAACTTTTTTTTTTTCCTTATGTGCTCATGTGAAACTCTTTTTCCCTTGTAGGCTTATATGAAACTAGATTTTGGCAAAACTGGGAGCGTGCCTGTAGTAGATATCAGAAAATGTTACTGTGCAAAGAAACATCCTCTGGTAGTGGCAGGTAAATCGCTCAAACAACAACATCAACAAGTGTGTAACTGCTGAAGTAATCTTGTTAGCAGACATACCAGATCCAGAAACTGGCTGCGAATACAAACCAGTTTCATATTGGCTTAGACTTGAGCTGTTTAGGCGAACTTTCTTCATCTGATGACCTGTAATGTGTCTATCTGGAACATGACTATAAATAGCAGTGGAGTTCATGTACACAATGCTTTTTACCAAGCTGCAAATACTGCATGTATGCAGAGTAGTTCCTTGCCCTACTTATGTAGGACTACGATTAGGCTGTTACTTCTCAGCTTTGTTCTGCACATTATCAGCGATACGTATGATATTAGTAACTTTCACTTAGGAGGATACTGTAATTTTCGTATTTATCAAAATGTGCAAGGTTTCCAACTGACACTGAATGTACTCAACACTTCAGATTCCTTCTGAATGAGTTATTCATGTATTTCTGGGACAGGATTGTCATCCTTTACAGGGGAAGTGTTGGTATCCTCATTATTTTTTCAGGAGTCTCAAAAATGTTTAAACTCTGCCATTGAAAAAATAGGAGTTTTAATATTTGTATGTCAGTTCCTAAAGTAACATTTCCATGTACCAAGCTAGTCATGCCTATTGTTCTGACCCTTTCTGGTTTGCTCATAGAAGAGAGAAATTTTTTTATATTGTCAGTGATATTAATGTCAACATATGAAGACATATGGTGGTATAGGGATGTTACCCTTGCAATTTTTTTTTTCACGTTTTTTTCTCACTTTTTTTTTCTCAGTGCTATGAAATCCTCATGAGTATAATCATAAGTTTCTGGAACACACACATAAATTGCAGAGCACTTTTCAAATGTAAACCTGCATCTTAAGTTCTTCCTAGAGCTTTGAGTTTGTATCACATTGCACGTATGCTTTACTGCAAGATAACTTCTAAACTACCAAGATTTTAGTTTACAAATGCAGTCATTTGAAGAAAAAAATGTTCCTGATGCCATGATTCATTGAAACTGACTGTGGCCTCATGTTTCTGGTGATAGTTAATACTACCATGTGCTATTAAAGTAAGATGTTTTCTGTGGCTGGTATTACGTGAGCCAGTGACTTAACTCTGCAATCAGAATGTTGAATCTGTTCAAGAAAAGTATATTTGCAAGCTAAAATGTAGAAGTTTCTTGCCTGAAATCTTTTAAATGCTATATATTCACTGTTCTTGAAAATGTATTTAATAGGAAAAATATACTTTCACAGGCAAAGCTACAGAAGAAGAAATTAAATCGGCATTTCTAGAAACTTTAGGAGAGTCTTGCAGCAACCCCAATGAAGTGTCCTATTCTGAGTTTGAAGATTATTATGAAGGATTGAGTATTGGAATCATGGATGATGATGATTTTGTTAATATCGTAAGGCACCCTTGGGGAATTTAGAGTGGAAGATGACAAAAATGAAGAAGAGACATTTTCTAAACAAGGAGTGAGCTAAATAAGGGAGGTTTTAGTCTTGATGTGCATTGCTTCATAATTAGTATCTTAAACTGATTTCAGGACTGAGATTTCAGATTCTTTCAGAATAATATATAGCAAATTTCTTAGAGTGTTGAGCTATGCTAATCACTTTTTAAGTATAAATGCTGTTCATTCCTTTTCGTTGGAAATAATAAAGACTGTTCAGCATCCCAAAAGGAATCATTTACTTGATATTAAAGTGGCCTATTTTAAAATAAGAGGGAATTAGAATGCAAAAATTCATGAAGGAATAGATGCAAGAAAAAAATTATTTTATGATGTGTTGTAAAAAGCTTTAGATTTGACTGTATAAATGTCAATAAATGTCAATGGTAGTGTCTTCTTATAGAAGTATATTCTTGTAACATTCTTTGTCTCATTTCTTGTTTCGTGTGCTGATACTTAGCTTGAAAGAGAGCAGGTCATCCTATTCTGATTTAAAGCGTTATCTGCAGTACTGAAAGCACAGAGATGTTCACGCCACTTAGCCCTTTGGCCTGTGGACCACCTTGACTGATTTTATTTTTTCATCTTGATCAGGCATCTGAAGCTGAGTGTTGAATCCCAAAAGTTTTAATAATCACACTTATGTTTTGTAATATACTTCTTCCTTTTCTCTATTTTTCTAAGTGGTTTTCAAAACCAATAGTTTATATTTAAATACCTAGTTTCTTTACATTCTGTTGCTGTGGGTTTTTTGACTGAAACTTAGAAATTATTTCCTTTGTCAAACTGATATCTAGGATTTCCTGTCTATGCTGAAAGTACAAGCCAGAAAAACATTAAAAAACCCTCACCAGCAACCCACCACCTCTGTCAGAACAAAACTTAAACCATGAATTAAAATATTCCTTGCTACTTCAAATATTCAGCCAGATAGATTTTTCAGTCTAATGCTTCTTGTTAATTCTTTAAAATTCTTTGTGTTAAATAAAAATGTATTACTAATTATACATGGAGAGAGATAGCCTTTGGTTTCAGTATACCGGTCATCAAAATTAACTGTATGTTGAACTACATTTCATAAGCCTCTGCAATTTAAATATATTGGCTTCCTCTATGCTTGCCTGCCTGGTTTTGAATTTATAGCCTGTGGTTAACAGAACTTTCCTCTGAGACAGAGTTTGTGTTTCATAGGAATTTCAGGGCAGTGCTGAAATGAGGAACTTGGGTCCCTCTGAGGCTGACTGGTTTCTTCTAGATACAGCTTCTGTGTTGTTATGTTTTGATTATTTGTACCCTGCCCTCAGTTGTAATTAGAATTGCAGTTTCTACTCTAAATCCTCAAATAAGGGATTTGGGGAGGTTCTTTTGGGGCTGCAAAAGACTGTATGTATTGCTTTACAGAGAAAGGGAAATTCTGTCAATGCTTATTCCAAGCAAGGTTTCTGATGTGGTTCATTGCAATTTTCTTACTGCTCATTCCTGATTGCTGGAGAGATTTTGTTAATTAGTGTTCTTGGAATTGGAGATTGCGAAAAGGGCAACTTCAGCTGATTTTACGGAGATCTGCTTGTTAATGTGTCTGTTCAAATAACTGAAAAATACCAAATGGCATTTTTATTAGTTTTTCAAACAATCACCTGCTCTATTTAGACTTGTTCACTTAGGAGAGTTGTAGCAATGTATAGATTTTAACTCAATAAATGTGCAGTGCTGGTGAAAGGAGATATTGACATATTTCTCTGTGTAATTATTTTTTTTTGCAATGCTTTTAGGAAGATTATTCCACATTATCCTATGGAATGGAAAAATTAATCACAAGTGGAGTGGACCTACTTATCAGTAGAGGCCATGTAGGCCACATCTGTTGCAAATTAAGCATTCTTTATTTTATTCTTATCACTAAAATGAGGTGCTGTTATAAGAACATTATTTCCATAGCTTTGGTAGTCATGCATATTTTTTTTTTCTTAACAGGGTAATCTACAATGAACTCTAAAGGTCAGAAATTGCTTGAAAATATGAGTGGTGATTATGTAAAACCTACTCGGTATATAATACCTCCTAACTCCCAGGCCAGTTGCGCATCAGTGTGTGATGTCTGTGGTTAATTTTTAATGGAGTTCACACAAGTCACTTTCCACCTACTCACTTTTTTTCACTGTCTAAGCTTAAGATGGTGGCAAAGAATTCAAACCAACTTCTACCCAAAGCTGGCTCACCATGCTTACAGTTAGTAGAAGAACACAAAAACTGTGTTCAAATTGGAGTCTGTGCTGTTGGACTTCATTAACAGTAGTCTTAATACCCTAATTAATTGCATTCTTACTTGCTCTTATTTACTTGTAAACATTTGATGAGCCTGAATCCTTTTCTTTGACTGATGCTTTGTAGCTGTAAAATCTTCTGGAAGTGTCTGCTGAGGTTTACTGCCTTGAAAAATGTGTTTCAAAGAAAACTTTTTCGACATTTGCTACGTTTCTCAGAATTGCCCATGTGTTCTGAGTTAGGATGTGTTCTTAGAAGTGGTGTTCTGAGAGAAGCTGGGTGGCTTCTTTCCTGAAAGTCATAGCTTAATGAAACTGGTTGACTTCATGCCCCCCAGATTTAGAGTTCTGCTAAAAAGTCCTAGCAGCATGTTGTAATTGAGACTATCAGAAATGCATTATACTGCAAACATTCTTTGGTCTATTAGAGGCACATGCTCCCAGAAGACAAGTGGAAATTAATGAAGTGATGTAACTCCTAAGTCTCAAAGTCTCTGACCACTTCATCAAGTGAATTTGCACTGGCAATGTTAGCTGGAATGTTTAAGAGCATTTTTAAAAAGCAAAACACAGGCACACAAACCTGCAGAAGCTTCACTTTATCAGCTAATGGAAAAAGGGCATCATCACCCAGGATAGCTTTGTGGCTGAGAGGAGATGTTCTTACAGACACCGTCAAACCCATTTCTCTTCCGTAAGAGTCATTGCCAGCTGATCAGTTTTTAGGTCTTTGGGGTCGGAAAAACAGAGAGATTAAAAACGTTCCATACCACTGTGTGCTTGCATGGAGGTGCTGTTTAGTTGTGGGGCCTGAAGGGTTGGGGATTTTTTCGTCTTTGTGGATTTTGGGAGGTTGGTTGTTTGATTTGTTGGTTGTTGGGTTGGTTTTCTTTTGAGCGTGCTGTCTCTAGGTAGTAAAAGAGAACACCTGGAACTGTTTTCATATGATCTGTTAAGTCCATAGAAAAACAAAGCAGCCAAGATTCTGTGGCAGGAAAAGGGAAAGTAGAAAATCACATGCTTTTTTTTTTCCTGGATATTACTCTAATAATTTATCCTTCCTGTCATTCATACTCAGCAATTTAAAGACAGATAATTCTGTACTTGCTTTTCATGTTGTTAACCATCTTGTCTTTAAGAAGCTGTCAGAATGATTCTGTTGTAATCATGAGGCATTTTCAGTGACAAAAAAGGTGAGCAGTATTTCCTTACTGACCTATTTAGGCTATTTCTTTCCACAGAGAACATTTAAAAGGGTTAATTGAAATGGGAGGATATTTTAAGAAAGAAATGTGGTAAGGTGGTACCTACATGATGACCCAATGAAATGTTTTGTTTTATGGCTGTTACACTTTTGTTGCACCCCTTTTTGATTGTGAAAGTATTCTTCAGGATAAAAAGAGTGTGTATCTTAGTTTTTTTAGTGTTTATTATGGCATCTGTAGTGTTTATCCAGAACTTACAGTGTCTGCATACTTGTTTTCTGGCTTTTTTTCTCCTCATTCATGTTTTAGTTTGGATGGAACTAATTGGATTTGTGCAATTGTTTGTGTTTGTTGCTTCCAGCAGAATTTTGTGTGACCAGCATCCCCAGAGAAGCAGCTTCAAAATAAAAAAAGCAATAGCCATTTCTTTGTGGTTCGATTTTTTTGCAGACTGAATTCTTAAGAAAAAGGTTTAATATTTTAGGATCTTTTGCTGGCTTGAGTATTTTTTAGCTTGTGTCTTATGACCTTTTGCAGTTATTTCCCCTCACAGTTTTAAGAGAGGAGAGGAACCTGAGAGCCTCTGGAAAAGGTAGAAAAAAAAGGTCTTTAGAAGGTGTGCTGCCTAGGTATCTCACTAATGAGGATACTCCCTGTAGAAACTTGACACTGCTTTCAAACTGCCCTTTTTGAGTAGTCTGAAAGAGCCTCTTTGGCAGATCCCTTCCAGGTACCAGAAACAGTGATATAAAGACCAGAGAGGTTCTCCTCAGGGGCAGCAAGCTCAGCCCTTCACAAATGGACCTTATGTCTGGGAGAGGTGAGAGCACCTGCCTCGCTCCCAGTTCCCACACCGGTCTGCCTCGCTGCTGGGCTCCACAAACTGCTGCGATGGTGGGCTCCTTTCATAACCTTGTTGGGATAGAGTCTTGTAAGAAGGAGACCTCCTGCAGACATTTACCTACCTACCAAGGTGTGCCTTTGCTGAGCTAGAAGACAAGGACCATCCTGCTCATGGCAAAACTGGTCTTCATAGCAGCTTTTCAAAACGCTGACTGTTCAGTACTGTCTAGCCCAAGCAAGTGTAATAGAGAGGGCAGAGACTGAAGAGAGGTGAACTAGTGGGAAGACACAAAGAAAGATGAGGTAGGATGTAAAATGGTAGCACTTAGGGGCAGTGGGGGAGACAAAAAACTGGGATGGCTAATAGTTCCTTTGCAGCAGGAAGGCAGAAGGGCTTCGGGAGCTTCTTCCTCATCTTTTCCCCATACTTCTGCTTTATGCTATGTCTCACTTTTGGTTGTAAATTGGGAATGAAACTCAGCAAGAACTGATTAACTCTGGTTCAAAATGAAAACTCTGGTTCAAAATTTCAGCCAAGTCCCTCACAAAACTCATTTTGGGACTAGCATGCTATGGATGATACCTGCTTTACAGTGCTTTACATTTCATGTGGGGTAACCCATGGCCACTATAGGGCACAGCTTAAAATCAGTGGAAGCTAAAA